TGAGACCAGTCAGGTTCAAGCTTTCATAGCAATATTTTAATCATCACAATTCTGGAGGTGTATTTCTTCAGGTGTGACACCAGCAGAGGCTACTTTTTATTTCGGTAAACTTTTCTGTGCTCTCCAGAATATAAATCATTATTTATAAAAATGCTTATCTATAAAAGCAAGTTTCTACAATCTAAGAAGCACAGACTGTACACAAAAGATGGGCATAACAAGTATGGGGCAGTAAGGACTCTTCACACTTGTGTGAATGTAAGAGAAAATCAATCACTGGTAACATCAGCTAAGCACTGTGCTAGTAATTGCTATATACATACCATCTATTTATAGTTATAAGAAACTGCAGTTTAAATTAAGATTACCTGATGTTCAGAGTCTTCAGTTCTTGAGCTTAAGGAAGAGTATGGTTGGTTGCACCCAGTGACACAACATTTGGTTTTCTTTCCTCATTGCTGAGAAAGCACATTAAGTAGCTGCAAGACAGGTATTATATTAGTGTACTGACCAGACAAGTAGGCAAACAGGTATACAAAGACATGCAAATAGTGCATTACAGACATTCTAGCAGCGGTCGTTTGTGTGCGAAAGAACAACTCTGTCAGGTGCGTTTCTGTCCCTTTTGTAACTCTGTAGACCCTTCACATGGATATGAAGGGTATAATAAAAATAATAAAAAATATAAAATATAATAAAAACTTGTATAATAGACCAAAGGATAGGAAAAATAATAGGGGCCCTTTATAGTCACATGGTGTGTGTTTTCTTTTTAGTACAGTCCTCTGAGAGAGCGCCAGAAAGTCAGTTTTTAATGAAGTGCACAAGTTCACTTACATCCATTAACATTCTTCCCTCAATAGATGAACAAACGTTTTGTTACAATACCACGAGGGATCACCTGAAAAAAACACTGGCAGTAGCTGGGCGATGAGCAGCTGTGTATGCATCCAAGCTATCGGCTCACTCATGTCAGCTAAGCTTTAAAGGTCAAAGTTCTGAACACACCCAGACTACTCACCAGCCGCCTGAGGCCTTGTGGTGTCATCTGCCATCAGGCTTAGACAATTCTGCATGAAGTCAGGACCAAAACCACAGGCAGACACACTGTAGCAGATCTTTGACTGACACATAGATAACTGACATATACTATATATGCAAATCATTTGATAAGGAGTCCATTATTGTTGTATTTGTTTTTACTATTTTCAAAGATGAGAAAGAAACTGAAAACATAGCCTTATAACTATTTCTAAAGTATCCCAAATCAGTGTAAAGGTGCTTCAGTTACCAATAAGGCATATGATAAAATGTTATCTTACTGATTAACTGAAAAATTTCCGGGATCAGATTAATTTGAGTCTAAAACCCACAAATGGTAGCATTTTATAAGTGACTTCCCCCGGTGTACTTCCCCCTGAAATTAAATGGAATTTCAGTGAATTTTATTTGAAATTATAACTTAATTATATTTATTTAAACATCCTTCGAGGTAGGTACACTAGAGTAAGGGTAATACATCAGGTTTTACAGGAAAAAAGAAATAGTTATACTGGAAGTAAGTTTAAATGCTTAGTAATAAATCGTGATTTGTTAGGCAAGAAAATAATCCACTCCAAAATTGGACCTGTGCCCCAAAAAGTAAAAGGTATGGAAATATTGTTTGTTTTTCTGGAAAATTATCAGGAAATTAGCCATTAATTAAAATTACCTATGTAGTATTTAACATTGCATAGAGTCTAATTTTTGTCTCCTTTCCAGCACTATACACAGAAATCAGGCACTATTTGCGATTACTTTTCCACTACTACTTACAATCTAATTATTTCTTCTTTCCTGTGACATACAACTTCTTGTGACCTACTTAATATGACTTTTACAGTACTTGAAATTGCTTATGTAATAAATTGTATCTTCCAGTTAAATACCCAAAGTTGTTAAATATTTAGAATTACTCACTTTCACACACAGGTTTTTTTTTCATGTAAAAACCCAAATTGTTACCTCCCTATTCTACTACAACTACCTGTAAGTATGTGTAGGTAAATACATTGTAACTTTAAATAAAATAGAGAGAAATTCCATTTAATTACAGAGAAATACATCCTTAGTTGCAAGTGGTATTATAAAGTGTTACCAACAAAATATTTAGTTATTTATTCTTTCATTTATTATTGTATTGAACATATTCTTATTACACTTTTATTCAAGTAGTGTGACTGTTGTTTGTCTCTATACACCAGGTTCAGCAGTGCTTCCAATTTTTTTGTATGCTTGTGCTTACATAACAATAAGGGTTGTCTTATCTTATCCTATCTTATCTTATATAGTTAAATTCAAAGCCAAGTGATTCTGAGACATCATCTTGTGTTCTGGAAAATTCATAGGGTTGTTTTTCAAACATTTTCATTTTTACAAACACTGATAACCAACATTATAGCTGCAGCCTGTCAGTTTTACTGCCCAATTGCCCCAAAACAAGTTCCTCTTTCATCTGATCTTTGTGATTACTTCATCACATAAAAGGGGAAAGTAAACCTCCTCATCCTTATCAGCTTACAATCTTCCCTTTGTTCGCTTAAATGAAATATCATTTAAAACTGTATTAAAGTGAAATCTGAAAATGACATCAAAGTTTCTGTCATCACAAGTTAGAATTTTTTTAAAAAAATCTTAAATGAGAAGCTAAGGCAGACAGGAGGAGGGAATCCCCCTGCTGATCGGCTAGTTTCCTATCAGTGTTCCTGATGCTGACTCACTGACGCTGGTGTGCAGCCTGGCTCCCTTAGGGGCTCCACGCTACCCACAATCCCCAACCACGCAGCTGACACAGCTTAAACGTCACACTGCTGATCGGTGGTTTCATCTCACCTCCCGGTCTTATCGTCGTGGACAACACAGAGGAAAGGAAATGGTTCTTACTCGTGAAACCGAATCTTAAGTCACCTATTCCCTGACTCATTCACTGATGTGTTTATGTGTAAGGGTGAGCAATGTGGAAGGGGATTCGTTTTTGACACGAGGAAAATAAATCTCACATCAGTTTTTTATATATAATGATGTTGAATGGGGATGTAATTAGTTTTGTATACTGTACTTTTCACTTTGTTCGGTTTGCAATAATTTCACTTTTTTTTGTTATTGATTTTGCTGCAAATCCTTAATAAATTGCTTTATTTTTTGTCTTTAAGTCTGTTCATTTTTATGTGTTCTCATTCAGTCCTCTCACAGTGTCAGGGGATTCTGCAGTTTATTTCTAAAGAATCATTAACAATAATTCATTGTTAAGGGAAAACCTTTCTTGGGGATACTTAGCATGCAGATGTGGTGATTATCAATGTGGGTGTGATCTAAAGAGGATTTTTAAGTTTGTGTTCTAGTGAAATTCTAGTGAGGTTTCTTACATTGAAATCTATGAGGTAGGTTCAGCAGCTGGGGAAAGTATCGGCCATCATTGCTTCCTGTATAACTTCCTGTATTGCTGTTAACAGTTAGTAGAAGGCCAAGTATTTTGCCCACTTATCTATTAAACAACACACTTTTCTTCAAGACATACAGAAGATTAACTGTACTCACTGCAAATGACCACTGGTTACTGTTTGACAGATTTAGACAGACATTTGTCCTGGTGTAAGATGATCACACTAAGCCCATGGAATTTGTGAATTGATTGGTCACTAGTAATTGCAAAAAAATAAAAAAAGAAGAAGAAAATCAAATACCCTCTAATTCAGAACAAGATTAAGAGTTTTCATTTAAGCATTTTTAAAGAGATTTAAGAGACTGCTTTTGTTTGACCTCTGATTTGCATTCTATTACTCAGATACAGGGGTATTTCCAGGATTATTAATTTATGAATTTATTGATTTAAGTGCAGAAGAAGAATAAGGCCGTGGGGTGTCCACAGGAACTCGGAATATCTAATGAGGAATAAATGGATTGTGAAAAACACAGGGCACAATTTTCTGGTTTCAGTGGAGTCCTATGTCATCATAGAGGTGGTGTTACATGACTGTTTAGTGAAATTGATGAAATGAGTATTTAGGTCTTTTATTTAAGTAATAGAACAAGTGTTTTAAGCTCAAACAATACTTACAGCTGAAGGACATTTTAATTAGTTACACACTGATAGGTAGTTTTATAATATTAACAATAAAAAAAATAATAAGTCACTGGAGGCTTAAAGAGTATTGACTACAAAGTGCAATGATTGCACATAAAATACAGTGGAGTGGAAGTAGAAAGTTGTAAAAGTAAAGTATAAGTACATTTACTCTGTACTTCAGCGACTACTTATCCATATTCTAGCTCATTCAATGGCTTTGAGAATAGCTGCATTCTTAGTACTTTAATCAAATGTCAGTGGTAATAATTACTATTTTTTTAAACAAACAGTTACGTACTAGCAATGCAATATTATGCACAGGATAAATATTTTGGGTCAGAATTACTGTGAACACACACACAAACACATAAATGCTAATAATTAACAGTAGCTATCGCTGAAACATAGATGGTACTTTTAGCTTCCCTGTTTTAAATAAATATGTATCCGGAGTATATATGAATCTTTTTTGTTTTGAAGTAACACGAATTAGTAGATTTTATTATAACAGTCAAAATATCAGCAAATATCAGCAAAGTTAAATTAAATTATGAAATCTTTGCTTACCAACAGTTAAATTCTACTCTTAAACTAGACGCTCCTGGTTACTTGGCAACGCATAAACCTCATTGGCCAATCAGATACTTAGCAAAGGGCATTGATACAGTCTGACGCGACCATTATTATGTGATCTGCAGATGATGAAAACTGAGGTTTGGAGTTAATATTTAAAGTTAGCATTTTATTTTAACTATCCTCGCTGTATTTCTCACATTGTACTTTCTAAGTGTAAACGGCACATTACATAGTCCGAGGAACTGTGTCGTGCCACGGCGGTGCATGTGTTTCGGAAAGGTCGTACTTCGGCTATATAAAACAGGCGTGTCTTCAGTGGGTTTGTGGTTCTAACGCTGTCTTTTAAACGGTGGCTGTGTCTCTCTGTCGGGCAGTGGATTATGTGGAGGCGTGTGCGTGACAGCAAACTTCACATCTCACGTTTCGGGCTTTGAATGCTTACAGAACAGCCTTTTGGAAATGTATGTATCTTTTAAAACCCTCCTCAGTTTCTTACGCAAATCTGTGTTTTATTTTCGTAGTTGGGGAAAGTGGTGCGTTCGCTAAGTTTGAATTGCTAAATTTAAAGTTTGCCGTGCTGTAGCCACGATTCAAAAACGTGTCGCCGGTTGCGCTATTTTAACGTGAGACGTAGGTACCTAAAGTGTGTTGCTTGAGGATATTCTAACTTTGCATAACCGCTGAATTCACAAAGGGTTTTATGGCCATATGGCTAAGCTAACCATAATACTATCTTGCTAGTGTAGTGATAAAGCATTCTTATCGTCAGTTTCAGAGCAGAGTTTGGTACGCGTTTTAAATGCTGTTAGCACTGAGCCTTATTTGCTGTACATAGAGTAAAACTTGATTTTGACCTCCGCACGGCTAAATTGACAAGTCAGCTGGAACAAATAACTGCTGTTTAAAATTTTGCCCAACGTGTGTCGCGGCGACTTTTGTCGCTCCATGTAGTGGGGAATAACTATTAGTAGTACCGGTTGTTTATTCGGGAGACCCCCGGCTTTACTGGACTTGAAGCTAGCTCGGTGTTTGTCTCTCAGCGGTTCTGGAATAAAAGGCAGGCTTGCGCAGTGAGCTGTTCTAGAAACCTCACGGGCTCTGTCCTTTTACTGTGTGTAGCGTGCAGGTTGTCTCGTGCTCGCGTTCTCCTGTGCTCGTGCTGAACGCTCCTGTTGCTGCTCCTGTTTCACGGCAAGAAAATGGTTCTTGATTACATTTAACTGCGCCCCCCACCTCCTTTAGACACTCATTACTACAGCTAGACCAAATTTGGTAAAATTAAGAGAAAATGATTTTGTTTCCTTTAAAGAATATTGGCTAATATTTTCACATGGTAGACTTTATTTGGTATGTGTCACACTTGAGGGCTGTCACTAACATTTTGTTTTTTTTCTGTCCTGCCTCCTTAGTCAATCTAAACTTTTTGAGAAGATGGATAACAAGGAGGAATCAAACAGTTGTCCCTTCAGCGTCTTGACTTGGGAGCAGGTGAGCCGGCTCAATGAAGTTCTGACTGAGGTCGTGCCCGTTCATGGACGGGGGAACTTTCCTACTTTGGAGGTGCAGCTGAATGATATTGTGGCTCGGGTGCGCTCCCGCCTTGAGCTCAGCGGCATTAAGGTGAAGGACGTACGGCTTAATGGCTCCACAGCCAGCCACGTGCTGGTGCAAGATATTGGCTGGAGCTACAAGGACCTGGACGTCATCTTCAGGGTGGACTTGCCACGTGAGGCTGAGTTCAAGCTCATCAAGGATGTTGTGCTCAGTACCCTGCTGGACTTTCTGCCTGAGGGTGTGAACAAAGAGAAAATTACACCGATGACCCTCAAAGAGGCCTACGTGCAGAAGCTAGTCAAAGTGAACACAGAGCAGGACCGCTGGAGCCTCATCTCCCTCTCCAACAATAATGGCCGTAACGTGGAGCTGAAGTTTGTGGACTCAATACGTCGGCAGTTTGAGTTCAGTGTGGACTCTTTTCAGATTGTGCTGGACTCCATGCTCTCCTTCTATGAGGTGGAGCAGGCACCCATGTCAGAGGCCTTTCACCCCACTGTTGGCGGGGAAAGCATGTATGGAGACTTCAACACTGCGCTGAGCCACCTGCGAAACAAGCTCATTGCCACCAAGCGGCCTGAGGAGATCCGAGGCGGTGGCCTGCTGAAGTACTGCAACCTGCTGGTGAGGGACTTCCAGCCTGCCAGCGAGGAGGAATTCAAGGGCCTGGAGCGATATATGTGCTCACGCTTCTTCATTGACTTTCCTGACATAGGAGAGCAGCAGCGTAAGGTGGAATCCTACCTCCAGAGCCACTTTGTTGGCGAGGAGAAGAGCAAATACGACTACCTCATGATTCTCCGGCGAGTGGTTAACGAGAGCACGGTGTGCCTCATGGGTCACGAGCGGCGGCAGACCCTTCACCTCATCTCGCTGATGGCCTTCCGAGTCCTGGCGGAGCAGAACGCGATCCCCGACGCGTCCTGCGTCACCTGCTATTACCAGCCAGCGCCTTATGTCCGGGACCACAACTTCAGCAACTACTATGTGGCCAACCAGAACATTCCAACATGGCTGCCGTGTAACTGACGAGACAAACGACTTGGGATGAGCAAGATGGCGTCGCTGCTGCTTTTGAGAAGAGAAGGAATGAAATTAAGAAAAAAAAAAAAAAACATAAAAAAATGTTTGGCAATAAATAATTTGTTCCTCTCAAGGCACAATTATATTTAATTGGACGAGCGTTTTGCTTTTGTTTTCTCATTCCTTTACCGACAGAAGTGTCTAGGTCATTGAATAGAAAGTGATATTTTTAAGTGTTTTGATTTTGTTTTTTCTTTTTCTCTCATGTTTGGTTGTTTCACTGTTTATCAATCCCATTCTTAATGGAGTTGCATTTTGTGCCTTAACCTCCAGGTTTACCCCATCAGTAATTTAAGTATGGGCTGTGATTTGGAGAAAGGAAAGAGGAGCTAATGCCGTAGCCTTACATTTGGTTTTCATCTTGATTTAAAAAGAAAAAGGTTGGAAAAAAAGTTGATAAAAAATGCATAAAATATTGAAAAATAGTATTATTGTATTATTGGGGAAAAAGTAACAATGGGTGACTGCCAAAAAAAAAAAAGGGGGGGGGAGAGAGAAAGCTCATCACCGGTGTTAAAGTTTACTGTGGAGGGAGAAAAGGTGGTACACTAATATCCTGTCAGAAATCAGCGGGAAGCGAGGAGTCGATTTGTTTTAATTCATTTTGACATGTAAATATTTCTGAGACATCTGTGCCAGCGGTGCCTGTGATTTGTAAATGATGCAAAAGAGAAAAAAAAAAATAGAAGTATTTTTTTATTTTTCCACTGTGAATTTCAACATAAGATTGGCTCCCCTCCCTCCCCCTTGTTTCCTCAGCCTTGTACCTTTCAGTCAAGACTGGCTTCGAGTGGAACTCTCAGACAGCGTAGGCCTCAAATACATGACCTCACTACTTTCCCTGTCTTTTAAGTCCAAAAGCCTTGCCATTGACCTCAGCATGCCACGGCCCCTGGGTTATTGTGGGAGGCAAATGGACAGGACTGAGCCTGGTGGGGGGGGTTTAGAGAATGTGCTTGGCTGGGAGTCCCGGATTGACAGGCTAGTTGTCTCTTCCCTTAAAAGGAGCAGCACATGGAGGGGCCCGAAGGGTTGTCCCTCACAGCTACTGCATGCTCGACAGCAGCCCTGAAATGGGAGCCACCTCTGACGCAGCTCGGTGCCTCTCCAATTACTCTTAGTCTATAATTATCATCCTTCTCTTTTTTTGTCCTGGGGTTAGCTACCTTTGAAGCAGGGAGCTGGAGCCTGGTTGTGTGATCTGCAGCAGCCCTACCACCTTACATATCTGGCAGCTGAATCACTTCCTGTCCTCATCTGTTGCCTGATGGGACACGGAGCGTTTTGAACCCCTTTTGTGGTCATGGGGAGGGCAGACAACATGCCTGCTAGTGGGATACCATTCCCCCTTTCAGACCTGGAATTTCATCAGTGTGGAAGCTACGACCAAAACGGCAGCAGAGATGAAGTCGCCGCTCCAAACCTATGAATTTCTATTTGTAGCCAAGCCTAATATTAGCTGTTAATTTCTGAACACCTGAACACACTGATGACCTAAGCTGGAAGTATTTCTGGCCACCACTGCTCCTGTTGGTTTTCCTGACATCACAGCAGCCAAGTTTGAGAGGATTTCCTCATGAATTTGTTCCCCCAAATGCACTGAGTTTCTCAGAAGTTCGGCTCCCTGTATTGCTGCTGCTGATCTCACTGTGGCTTGTGTTGGTACGAGATAACCACAGACTTATCTGGTTGGCTCATAATGTCGGGGTTGATAGAACAATTGAGGGAGATCAGTTTGGTCTGGCTGCAGGTCACATTTGAGGGGCAGGTTGTGCCGTGTCAGCTTAGCTGCAGCGTGTTTTTGTTTTTGTTTTTTTTTAAACTTCTTTTAAGAACATGCTCTTGGACCAAAAGTCTGCTTTACAACCAGCAACTGAAGCACTCAAGTGCCTGTCACTTTGTGGAGAGTTGATCTTTTTAAAAGGTTTTTTAATGGTGGTCATAAAGGGGGAAAGGTTAGCAAAAGTTTTCTTTCAGCCTGTGAAGCTTTGATATAAAACTGTCTGTATTAGATAAAAGTTTATAAGGTGAATGTGCATATTTTTGGTTGAGGAGCAAAGTAATTTTGTTTTGACTTTAAAATTTGAGGGATTTTTTTTTTCCTATTAAGATTATTTTTCTTTAACATTAGTTTGTCCCAAACCTTATTTTGTCTTTAAAATCTGCAGTCATTCCCATGACAGCCATCTGAGCCTCTTGATCTTAGTTTTTTTTTTTTTTTTTTTTTTTTTTTTGTTATAAGTTTGGGCCGTCATGTCGCTGTAGTCATGTTGACCTCTGTCTTGCCCAAATGCATTCTGTAATCTGACATTTTGAGATTTTTTTTTTTTTTTTTTTTTCCTAACAGGTGCTGTATATTTACACCTTTCAACTGAATAATCTTTCCAGCATTTGCCTAGGACTGTATTCTCTAAAACAGCTGGGCTAATTCAGTTTGTCTGACTGTTCTGTTCCCCATCCGAAGCACGAAATACTTAAAGTGCACTGACGATCTGTACGGTGGCACAGTAGCTGGAGGTCACAGAGTAAAGACCCCCTCCCACACTGGTGGAACACTTTAAAGAGGCCTTGGTCAGTTGCTGTGTGAGCCGTGCTGGTCCTCAGGGACTGCATGTTTTTGAAGACAGTTTTGTCCCCTTCATATTTTGTTTTTCTTTTAAATTTATGAGAGCAAATTGGTTTAATCTGCCCTTGATCCTGAGATGCCCCCTCCCACCTCTCTTCATTTTTCGTCTTTCCTTTGTTGTAATCCTGACTCTCCCTCTGCTCACCCTTACTACAGGCTCTTCCTAGATAAGGTGGAGGTAGGCTGCAGACTTCAGCTCGTTACACCCCGACAGCAGCCCTGCTTTTTATCTTTACACCCATTCGCTCCAAAATGTTATCGTTACTCAGAGGCTCTCCTAGGTTTGTGCCAAAAGCTGTATTTTTAGTGGTGTTCTCCTAACCCTGAGACGTCGTCTCTGAAAGCTCGGTGACAGAACATTGACTCTCAGGCTAAAATCCTTTTTTTCCTAGTGGATTATGGTCTTTGAAGTAATGATGAGGCTTGGAGCAACATGCAGAGCCAGCTGCTGCTCACAGTTGGAGTTTGAAGCCTGCTGTGGTGAAAACCAGCCTCTTCTTAGGCTTTTTGTTGATGTCGCTCACCAACAGCTGTTAAGAGCGAGGTCAAAGAGACTGCGAGCAAATTTGCATTTTCCTAGAAAGTTGATAGCAGTCTGGAATACTAGTCCAGTGCCCTTTTTTTTTTTTTTTTTTTTTTTTTTTTTTTTTTTCCCCCCCCAATCCTCCTTTGCCCCACCCTGCTTTCACATGTTTACGGTTATTGTGGCTTTCTCTGATGACTATGCCCGAGCTTTTGCGGGGCTTGTGTCTAACCCTTTCCTTTACTGGGCTGACGTATGTCTGAACTCTCTGTGAATGGAAAGGGAATATTGTAGTTTGCATTTATTTTCTGGCCACTTTTTTCTGCTGTAAACTTGCCAGTGTTTCTTTCACACCACCTTGAGTTGGCTCACATGTTTGGGCTGCTGTTAATTGGTACAGCGTTTTTCTTTTTCCCCCCCTTATGACACCTGTAGCTGTATCCTTTGCTAGAGGGGAGATGCAGATGAGATATTTAGTGGTTATACTTGTATAAAGTGCAAGTCTTATGCCATAGGAATGTGATAGAAGCTGTCCTACAGTTTCTGTATGACGATGATTTATTTTGTTTGCAGCAGAAACAGATGTGTGTTTACGTTAACATGTGGTGGAGCGTGTTTGTTTGCGCCTGTGTGAAGGGATGCCTGTGGTAACACAAGTTGAATGGGGGGGGGAAAAAAAGTGGGGAAAATATGAACTTTGTCGCACTATATATATATTTTTGGAAATAGTTAATGCAGAAGAGCTTTTGTCAGCTTCGTGATTGTGACTTTGATGGTTACAACCATTAAACTATTTCATTTTTCAGCACTTTTACCTCACTAGAGTTTTTTTTTCTCCTTTGAATGGAAATGTACATGTACATCAGGAAAATGTGTTTGAAGAAGAAATAATGAATAAAGAGTATTCAATGCAATATGTGCCTCATTTGTTTGTTGCTTGAAAGCTTGCATGTAAAACTGACAATGTTTTAGCATGACAGTCAAGTGATTTAGACTTAAGAAAATGGGAGTTTAGCAGAATTTTACTTAATGTGACTAAAAAATTTTGGAAGCAAGACTAGAAGTGTGGAGAAATACGAGCTTTGACTAAAGAACCGAGGCGGTCCTTTATTGTGAACCTGCTGTTGTGCTCTGCAAACTTTAAATTTCCTTTCTTTATACGATAGCAATAAAGCATCACATCATGGGAGGATTATGGTCGCAGCAGCTAGAACAAATGCAGGCGTGAAGCAAAGTTCGTGATGCTACGTTAAGAGTTCACAGCAGGAATACACTAGAAAATATGACGGGGTTTCAAAAGTTGACCTGAAACTGACATTTAAACTGAAGTTTTAAGTACAAGCACAGTAAATGATCCTGAGTTTTTGTGTCATGTTACAGTAGAGATCATTACATAACCTAAAAAAAAAAAAAAATGCAGAAAGTTGTTAAAAATTACAATTTCAAGCGATTCTGACATGGATAAAAGGATAAGCAGTACATAGGCTCTTCTCTTCAAATGACTTAAGCTCATGTATACCTGTGGTGTGTTGCCAGCTTGTTCTGGTTGATTTTGTTCCTCTTAAGCCACCTGCTTTGTGGAGCCATAACTTTATCCTTCTATCAATTATTTATTTTGATTAAATCAGAGATGGGTTATTTCAGTATTCCAGTGTTAGCAACTTGAAGCCTTTTTTCCCCTTACTCTTTTTTTTTTCCCTTTTCACCACCATTTAGCTGAGACTGGTGGTGAAAGCACTTCTGATCATTTTGAGGCTCAACACCTGCTGCAGATCCACACTTTAGGTCTTCGTGATATTTGGGCCAGTTCTCCTCAGCAGATTATTAGATTAGACTTTGGGCTTGTGGTGACGGCAATGCCAGCTCAGTCCAGATTCTCTCAGAAGACGACATCCTGTAAAACAAGAAGGAACCATGTGCTGCCCAGTGGTGAACGGGCCACTGTCGAACATCTGATGACATTGGTTAAACACAATCCTCTGGTAACATCCATCTTCTCTTAAAATTCCTAGAAGGTTCTTCCCTTGAACCTTTACCTGAACCGCTGCCATCAATAACTACCATCTAGTGAAATGATTGCTGCCAACTTTACTTCGCTTTGTCAGGTAATTACAGAGATTAGAACCAGGTGCTAGATTAGCACCATCAACTGTTAAAGTATCTAAAGTATTCTTAATTTGGATGAGTGTTATTTATTTATATATATATATATATATTTTTTAAATAAAAGTATGTCCTCACATGGGGACGTTGGATTTATTTTACAGGATGACACAAAGTTGCCATTATTTAACAAAGTTTAAAACATGTTACTGAGCAGAATGAAGCATAATCAGCAGAAACGTCTTAGTGTAGTGTCCCACCGTGAGGACGCAGGGTCTCAGGAGGATGTAAAGGAGATTTAGGAAAACATAAGGTAGATCCTTTGTGAGTATTTGTTTGGGCACGGCAGTCCAACGTGCATTTGCAAAGTGGGATCTGCTGTACTTTCAAACAGCGAGTGCTCGGGTCTGATTGCGTGCTGCTGGTAGGTGTTATTTATCATTAACTTTATTTAAAGTAAACATGAATCAGCATTTAACATATAATAATACTTGGTGTGGGGTTTTCTGATGTGTGCGTGGGGGGTACTTGGCAAACTGGTTATTCCAGTCAACTTTCCAGAGTTCCTCTGTGGGTTTAGGCTGTCTCAGCTGTTCTCTGATATTGAGATCAGGGCTCTGTGGGGACCGTGCCATCTGTCACAAGACTTTTTGTTCCCCTGCACAGTGAAGGTGCCTCTCTGACATTATGTTTAGTCATGCTGCACAGATAATTATGAGAGACATCTGACACCTCCTTGATGAAAAAAATAATTAAAAAACAAAATACTCAAGCAGCGAAACAGTGTCCTAATTGCTGCCTCTTACTTAAAAAGGGATGAATGCACTTAAAGAAAGTGGTACTGATGTATTTCTGATCTTGTACCGTTTGGATTTTTATAGACTCCTTCATTTCAGCCCTGCGGGCGTCCTACTCACTTTAACCAGAGATGTTTTTCCGTCTCCATCACTGAGGGAAGCGGTTTAGTGGGAAGATCCGTCAGCTCAGCATTCAGACCTTTAAATCCCTCCGTCGCTGATCTGAGTGCAGTGGAAAGCACTCCTCCCCCTGCCAGGGGTTTTATTGGGTAATAACAGCCTGGACATTGCTTTTGTGACAGTGTGCTTTAGTGGAGGACTGAGCAGAATCGGTGCTTGAAGGGAACATGAAAAGGAAGCAGGTTTGCCATGTGTGTTTTGTCTGTTTCTCCTCTTTAGTCCTCTCCGCTATGCTCACACATCCTCTGGTGTAGCTTCACTATCTGCTGTTATTTTCCGCTCAGGCCAGACGCCCCCATCTGCCTGCCACCCCCAGCCCACACTCACCAACTGCCATTCATAAAAGCAGTGACTTATCTGCAGGCAGTGACTCACTGTGTGGACTTAGGTGACGCAGTTATCTGCCCTAACTAACCTCTTTTTCCATTCCCCCTCTGTCCTTTCGCTGATGCTGCTTTATAGGCCCTGTTAACCTTTAATTTTGATAATTCAGCTCGGACTTCTTTTCCTCCTCCACTGTGGTTTGTGGTTTCACGTGAATGAAGATCACGCTGGTAAACCCACACAGTCTTTCAGAGCGTCCTGTTGTAAAGTCCAGTGTACTCATTTGAATTTAATCCTAAAGTACAGTTCACTAAGCCTGCATCAAGGCCTTGTTAACAGCTTGCAGCTGTGGCAGACAGCTGAAATCACACTTTTTTTCCCCAACTACAAGTTATTAATATCGCTTTGCAAAGCAGCACCTGCCCTGCACTCTGGCATGGATGAGATTTTTTATGCGCCGCACAAACCAAAGTTTGTTTTTTATGAAACTGGTTTTCAGAGTCGGTGCGGCGATGTTTTCTCTTGTATGGTCAGACCCCTGACAGCAACAGTCCTTTTCCTGGCTGCTCTGGTGAACTCTGGCATGATCTATATGTTTGCTCCTGAAATGGAAAGCAGCTAATACTGAACTCATGCAAACTCATGCTGGTTCTGTTTGTTCTAGCCATGTCTTCACTTGACTTTTGCTCTGTTGCATGGATTTCCCCTCGCAGGAGCATCTCTCCATCAGATTCCATTCATTCGAGAGAGTTTTGTCTGTGTGAAGTTGCTGCCTCTGCCAAGGAAGTTATGCGTTTGGAAGGGTTTGCGTGCATGCGTGTCATTCTGTCTGTAAACACGACAGCACGAAAAGTTTCGAATGAATTCTGATAAAACTTTGTAGGGGTTTGTAGGTCAGGTTAACAATCCATTCAAATCTGGCTTATATCCACCAAGGTCTTCAAGATCAACTTAATTTGTTGATCAATAATTGGCAAAACACATTATAACTTAGACACTGTGACTCCTACAAGTGTGGTGTGCAATGTCAGCAACTAGAAAGTACCATATGAGTTTAAAAAACATGTCACATGTCACATTTGACCTCTGACCTCTTCTTTAAGGTCAGTAAATTAATCTAAAGGTCAAAGTCATGATAATGCCACATAGAGCTCTGTTTCTTACATTGTTTGTATTGACATCATATAGGTATATGAGGAATGATATATGGGGATTTTAAATATCTCATTACTTTGACCTCTTCTTCAAGGTCAGATGTGACTTTTTTCTTTAAAACTTTGATTAAAATTCTGCTGCTATTGTCTGTATTTCATTTAGGAAATGATTCTGGTATATGGGCATTTAAAATATCACATTATTGTCTGCATTCACTTTTACATTTCACATCTGCTTTTCTTTTAAGTTGACCCAATTATGTTTTATATCTTTAAAGTAAGAGAAAGAGAATTAGCTGCCAAGTTAGTTCAAATACATTCTGCAGTATAATATTATATAATCAAATAAAATTATTCATGTCCAGGTATTTACTGATCAGCATCTATTATCCATTACCTAGTCCTACATAACGTTTCTGTAATCAAAGCAGAACTGTATGCTGCCCTTATCTGATTTTTACTGCACTACAAACTTCTTAAAGTACCTTTAAAAAAGCAAAGAAGATGAATATTCAAAACACAGTACTGTTCCTTTAAAAGTAAATACTGCTCAGAGAGTGAGCTGCCTCTGTAGAGGTGTGTGCTCTCTGAGCGCTTCTTGTTTTTCAATGTAAAGGGTGCTGTTGATGGTACTGACTTACTCACTGCTATTCTCTCTACTGCCCTTTCAGAAGAGAAATGCACTGTTCTGGTTACTCTGGATCTTATGGAAATAAAGAAACACAAGTACTCTATCTTAAGAGTAAAGTAATTCAGTGACTTGACTATTTGTTTGACTATTTGAGGGTTTGACTGTTGTACTCTTATATATCGAAGTCATGATCCACCACAAACATGCTGAATGTTTCAGCCATGACTTGTTGAACGCCCTGCCTGCTGAAAATGCCCGGTATGTGGCAATAACCCGCCGCTTTCCCACATGTTTGAATATTATCATAATGTACTTGTTTTTATATAGCATCTTTCAAATCGTACTTACCACTTAAGGTGCTTTAGACTACATTAAAGGTCCCTTCTAAAAACACTGCCGTAATTGAAGTGGAGTTGTTTATTTATGAGCTAGTTTTAGTTTGTGTGCCAAACACATGCACTCCAACGTGGTCGACGTGCACGCCATGTGTGAGTGAACACATGGTTGACATAATAAGCAGTCCAGCTGGCAGGGCTGCGTGGTGCAGAGTGCAAGCTAATGAATTTAGATCCAAACAATACAAACATTGTTTTGTGTTTTTATTCCTGTTTTATTATTTCTTTAGAAAGTCACCAATTAGTTTGGTGGTTATCTACAATAAAACTACAGAGCCATGGCTGTTTCCATGACGTTTAAAGAATACTTGACTAATACACTGTGGAAGA